ACACATTTTCTCTACCTTTTTTAAAATCTGATTCACTGACTCTGCTTCAACTGCTTGAAGCACTAACCAGTTACTATGTGTGGTCACAGGAAGCCTTGTGTACTTCAATAAAAAGCTCAGGAACCACTAACATACATTATATATTTGGAATGGTTCATATATGTGTTTCCACTGTGAGAAGAGGAGGTGTATTTAAAAGCAGACCTAAAGCGGGTACGCCATGAGGTGGGCCGCTCCACCTGGAGCCTTCATCTGCATTTGATATCCCAAATATGTTTCAGTTCTATTTCTAGTGTGGAAGCTGAAATGGCCAACCTGCTGCTAAACCATCATCTTGTATTAGAGAGAGAGAGAGAGAGAGAGAATAAGAGATGATGATGATGATGAGGATTTCTCTCTTTGTTCTGTTTACCTCTGAGGTTACTTCTTTTCTCCCTTCTCTCCCAGACCTCCTCACTTCTTCACTTTGGTTCCTTGAAGTCTGTTCATACGTTTGTTTTCCTACCGCACATCTGCTGCCTGTGTCTTTACCAGCAAACATGCTCTGCTGCACAGGAAGGAAGGAAGGTGTAGTACCTTTATGACAGCAGCAAACAGCCCTTTGGTTCCAACATTATTCAAATTAGGAATACTGGCCAAAATAAATCTGTTTATTCACAATACTAATTCTGAAAAAAAATCTGTGCTTGGAAGTGTATCTCTAATATGTACTTAACTATTTATAAGTTAAATAAGTACAATCATGAAATACGCACTCTTACTGAATATAAAAATACAAATTATGCTTACAATTGTTAAAATTGTCAGAAATCCAGAGCATGCCAAAATCATCAGACTGTTTAATCGAGACGATTATCTGACATTTACATTTGTGGATAATCGACCTGCCTGTGCTCATGAGGCCGATTAAAAAAAAATTTGTGCAGTGCAGACACATCTGCAGGCATCATTGTCAGTGTGGCTGCTGTAGGATGATGTTAGTGCTCCCCTTTGTTAGTTAGTTTGGAGGCACGTTTGTCCTAAATGACAGCAAATCTAATCTATAACTGTCACTGTTAAATATATATTATGTTATAATGTATATAAAAATGCAGTTGAATGACATTGCTGAAAACTGTCCCCCCTCTCTCTTAAATACCAGTCACATTCTGAAATCTAAAGCATAGCCGAATGCATTTTTTTTATTAAATTAAAATTCCATCCAAAACAACATGTTACTGGCTAAGATAACCATGTATTGTAATGTGCATGGAATAATAGATTTATACATGACTTTTCTTTGTTTTCGTTTCAGCACTAGTTATGTTATCGGTAAGTGTGTCCAAACTTAGTAGTAGTTGTAACAAATTAGCAATTTTCCAAAACACATAGATCAAACGAGTTCAAACGAACTAGGTGGTACCGAGTGTTTATACCTTTTCTGTTTGGTCACACTTAAAGGTTAGGGTGAAAGCCTACCTTTGCAGGGTGAGACGTAATTAATTCTACTAATGTGGGTAACGGTGCACACATTTAGACAAAATCTCCTTAAAAGTGTTTGTAAAAGTGTTTTGTGAAGTAGTTATATGAAGAGTGAAAAAGGTGAGCTTGAGAGAAAAGTTCAAACCCTGCCAATAAGGGAAGAATCCCTTTGCGCACCTGGCCAATGCTGCATAAAATGGCCTTAATTGATGATTATACTGCTGAATCCTCACATCCCACAAAACAACGTTAGAATTAAGGACCACTTTGTAAATGTCCAGGTGTTAATTCATCTGACATTTTTCTTCTGTTTTTCTCATTGGACAGCGGAGGTTGAGCTTCCAGATGGCCGCCTGTTCTCAGACTCCTTACCCCCCCACCCACTCAGCCTGCCCTCCCACCCACTTGGCCTACCTCCCCACCCGTTGGACCCTAGTCTGGCCCACACCCTGCCACCTGGCCTCCACGCAGACCACGACCTGCTGACCTGTGGCCAGTGTCAGATGACCCTCCCACTAGGCGACATCCTCCTCTTCATTGAACACAAGAAGAAGCAGTGCCAAACACCGCTGCTAGCCAATGGCTGCTATGACAAGATGACTGACCGGGGAGGAGGTGGAGGGAGTCCGACTCTGCAGAGCCTTCATCACCATGCGCAGCGGGGGGAGCTGAGGAAGGTGGTGGAGCCGGTGGAGATCGGTATCCAAGTGACACCAGAGGAGGAGGAGGTGGGAGGAGGTGTGAGGGGAGAGAGGATGCCCACCAAAGGGATTTGCACCAAGCAGGAAAACACACCGGCAGGTAGGCATAATGAATATACACTCATTTGTTTTCTTTCCTGGCATGAAAAGATTGATGCCAGTCTCATATCTTTACATTAAATATGAAGATAGAGTCAGGATGTAGTTAGTCTAGCAGATGTTAGCTAGAGTAACTCTGTCTAAAGTTTAGAAATACCCTGCTTAGGGAAGCAAAGCAGTGCTTTGTTTAAAAAAAAAAAAACACTGATCGAAACATTGAGACTGTGATAAATAGAAATGCAGATCCCACTGTTCTGGGTGTGCTAAAAAAGATTTTATACATATGGTGGTATGTTCTGTATACTATGACTGTTTTCGTAAAATAATATTTAAAGAAAAAGAAATTACAGTATATGGGCTTGCTTACAGTATTGCAGTATATCAAATCATAACCCCTGTACCGTGATACGTATCATATCGCTCGATTTTTGCCAAAATGTTTTGCTGTGTCTGTATCTGCAGAGACCCTGCAGCCCTCTGTCTGTATTTTCTTATTTTGTTGTGTGTGGATCATTTCAGGGCGTCAGCGTTTGGGCAGCATGCAGAGTTTGGGACTCGTATGCCTTTAACCCCTGTTGCCAAGTTTTATGTAGTGAGATGATTAAAGTAGCCTTGTGTCATAAAACTCCGTCAGAATGGGTAAGCTCCTTGGTAAAATGAAATAGCAGAAAATGAATACAGTCTCAGGCAGACTGTGGAGTGCAGAAAGGAAATAGCTAAATCACTGTTGACCAGGTGTTCATGCACCTTCACAAGCAAAACTAGAACATATATATGCATGTAAACACACTCACTGTTGTGTAAAGCGGCGTCAACATCTTATTTGTTTCTTATTTTCTTAAACTCACAGTTGTCTGCTCTGTGTACAGAAAATCAGGTCAACTTATTGTTTGTTTTGATTCTTGGCGAGTATCTTGTGTCTCCTGGTTACCAAAGTTTTACTTTAGTGGAAAATCTCTGTGTTCTGGCTCTGGTGTTGCCCTGCTATCTGAAACCAGTGTTTCCTCACAGATCTGCTGATCTGTCTGTTTGACTCAGTGGATGTAGTGTATACTGTCATGTCCCCTTGTGGTTGTGGATGGAACTGAAGCATGGGGAAATAGATGATTTGGTCCTTTGTCTTCTCTTGTTACTTTAATGTGTTAATGTCTGCATTATGCACCAAATACATGTTTGATTCTGGTGCAGATGGGACACATTCATTTGTGGCACTGTGGACACAAGTTGAGCAGAGTCAGAAGAGGATATAAATAATACAGTGCAGTCAGTGCTATACAGAAGAGACACGACACAAACTGCCAGACTTGTTCCCAGATCTCAGTAATAAACTTGATGTAAACAGTGTTATCATTATTGAGAGGACTGAGGGAGAGAACTACTACTACATTGAAAAGTTCTCTTAAAATAAAGAAATATAGAAAGTACCAGACGTAAAAGTGCAGCTTGTAAAGGTGGATCTCATTTTATTTCTTTTATACTGCTGGGTAGCTTCATCTATATCATAGTTTATTAGTTGATTTATATTTTATATTGATGATCCGAATCTGCAAAGTATGTAGTGGAGTAAAGTATAAATTAATAGAAAGTAACTCAAAATTGTACTTCAGTACAGTACTTGAGTAGGATAAATTAACTTAGTTACACTGTACCACTGGTTATTGTAATTTTTTACTGCAAATATCAGTTCCAAATATACATTATCTGTGTCCTTGATTACTAATCATTGGTATCTGTATTGGCTTGGGCATGGGATGCATTAACAACTAGTAATAGAATATGACTGAGAAATGAACTAAACAGGAGTCTAGAGTCAGCTCTGTGAGTGTGTGTAATACTATTATTGTACTAATACAGCAATACTAACACCAGCCTGCTAACATGCTAATGTTCAGTAAATTTTGCCTGATATTTATCATCTTTAGCATCTTAGCCTAGCATTTATTAGCACTAAACACAACACGACACAAAATTCAGCTGAGGCTGATGAGAATGTCTTTAGTTTTGCAGGTATTTTTCATAAATCAAAATATTGGACTGATCACAGTTTGGACCTTATGGTGGCTCTTGATGGAAAGTCATCAGGATTCTTTGGTCTACATATAAGATAAGATAATTCCTTTATTTATCCCCCTAAGGAGAAATTCATTTTGACACAGCAGCAATAGGGCAAAGCAGTGCAAAAAACAGAAAAACGAAGAATATCAAACTAAAAATATTGCTAATATTATTAA